TTAAGCTGTGCTTACTTATGTCCGTTTAGCATGTCCCACAGGGTACAGTCCACACAACGACTTGTGCTACCAAGTTGTCCAGACTCTGATCCCATACTCAGTAGCAAAGACTCAATGTGCAGAAAAAGGCGGGAAACTTGCTGTAGTAAACACTATTGGTATCAGAGAATTACTAAAAAATGTAGCTGAGTACCAGGGTATCAGAGATTTCATCTGGGTGGGAATGGATGATCAAGAAGAAGAAGGAAAGTGGATCCATGCTGATAGTTCTCTTGTCACAACAGATGAGGTCGCCACCTTGTGGCTGGCAGGAGAACCAAACGGAGGCAAGACAGAGAACTGTGGAGCTATGTTGGGACTGAAGTGGGATTATCAGTTAGGAGATTCCATCTGTTCGAATAATCAAGCTTTCTTTTGCCAGTTTCTTCTAGAGTCTTTTAACCAAACAATAGGTTAGTAAAATCTTTATATTCCTTCAAATTAAAAATTAAATACACCTGCAATATACACTTACAGGAGTTTTGAAATTAAGATGAAAGAATTAGCGTTTCCATGAACAGATAGTGAAAATTATTTACATATATATATATATATACAACTGACTATAAATAGAACCCATATTTCAAATGGTGACATTTTATAAACTAAGAGAACAGCATTTACCAAAGCATATTGAGAACTATATGTTTTATTCAGGAAAGTCTGAAGATGGTAAACGTTTTCGGCCATCCTCTCTCCCCCTATTAAAAACAAAAAACTTACTGGAGCAATTTATTTTTACCCCTGGTCTTTCGTAAACCTAATTCTTCTTGATTTATCCAGATCATAACCAATTAAACTTTTAGATTGGCAGAAATCTTGAAAGTTGTTTTTTTTTTTTTTACCATTGGTTGATTTGAGATATTTTTACTAAATTTTTTAAAATGTAGATGGCGTCTTGTAGTTGTATTATTTTACATTATTTCACGTTAAAGAGTTTTTATTCCGTGTTAAAATTTTAGGCTACTGAAAATCTAAAAGTGTTCGTCATTATTTGTTACGCTTGTGCTTATAAGAATAATAATGTGTTTATTTGTTTGTAATTATATTATGTAAATGTATAGATGCAGATATAACAACACTTTTGATAGAATTAGTAGGCTGTTGAATTAATTAATCCTCGTATCCCAATAATCATATTTAGAGTTGTTGATGTATTTTAACTCTAGTCATGCACGATGAAGTTATTTACTTTAATAGTTATTAACAGCTTCAGAATGACCTCTGGCGATACACAACCGAAACTCAAGGTGCGTGAATCATTTTTTACTCTCGTTGCTATGAACATGTGTGTATGTTTGTGTGTTTAGTGATAAGTGTGTTTTTAACTGTGATAACTGTTTTTCTTCAGTTAAGTAATGTGAACATCGATAACCTAAAGATTTTTCTTGACTTTATAAATTAAGACATCCATCGTATCAGTTAGTTATGGTGTACAACGCCTACTCGAGGATAAATTTAAACATCACAAATCGATTTCATTTTTAATTCCTCGTGTTCTTTCACGCCACGTTATACATACTGTTACGACAGCGGAAGTCACGGGACGCTGGTAACATGTAATGAGTCCTAGAAAGATCGGGGAACATCACGAATAATCCAGTATTTGCTAGATGCCATCTATTCTTGTATATAAGTGTGCCAGACAATTAATCGGAATTGAATAGTGGACAGAGAGATTGAAGATATAGACGGACAATTGAGTCAAGTGCGGTAATAAGTAAAGTGCGTGAATCGTTCGTTGAGAATTATAGCGTGTGTTTAAGTGACTGTGGAAATTAAGTGTATTGCAAAGTTGTATTGAGAAAGAATAAACTAGTTTTATTTAAGAAAGGACTTGTGTCGCTGAAGTTTCATCGGAAATAAATTATACAGAAAATTAACAAACGAACAGAGACGTAACAATACGTACACGCGTATATATATTTCAAATGCACAAAATTAGTACTTAGGGCTAGCAATTTCTTGAAAATGACATGACATCATCACCATTAATGTATGTGTAAAACCGCAAAATACACCTTTACAATGATTTATTTCACAATAAACTTCACAAGCTGATGAGAACAGTACAACTTTGGGGTTCTTAACGCACGTATGGCCAGGTGGATAAGGCGCTCGACTCACAATCTGAGGGTCGCAGGTTCGAATCCGCATCCCACCAAACATGCTCGCCCTTTCAGCCGTGGGGGCGTTATAATGTGACGGTCAATCCCACTATTCGTTGGTAAAAGAGTAGCCCAAGAGTTGGCGGTGGGTGGTGATGACTAGCTGCCTTCCCTCTAGTCTTACACTGCTAAATTAGGGACGGCTAGCGCAGATAGCCCTCGTGTAGCTTTGCGCGAAATTCCAAAACAAACAAACAAACAAACA